AGTGACGCCCACACTCCGGCAGTCTAACGCCCACACTCCGGAAGTCCAATGCCCCACACTCCGGAAGTCTAACGCCCACGTTCCAGAAGTCGAGCCCCGCGGTCGGTCATCTTCCAGTGTTCGCGCCACGTCCTGAGAGACACGGGGCTCCGTGAGCTCGTTTCTTCAATTTCGGTCCCTGGGAAGGGCATCCCTGGGAGCAGGAGAACCCACTGCCACGCGGGGTGATGTAACTGCCCCAAGCACACTACCCCTGGTGTAAATACCGGCGAGAAAGACCTGCTGGATCAAGGCAGGTGTTCAAGTTTGCAAGCTGTGCAGGGGCTCTCCAGTTCTCTCAGCTGTTGACCTGGAGGCCCTGTGTGACGAGCAGAAGAGGGCGGGGCAAGGCAGAGAAGCTACCAAGAGCATCGTGTCCAGGCGAGGAATGCCCGGACAGGTGTGGGAGCCCTTTAGAAAAGAGCCCGAACCCCACCGCTGGCGCTGGGGGGACACACACGTCAGGAACACGTTAGAGGGGGCCCGCGTACTCCATTGAAAGGTTTACTGGGAACTTGCCATTCTTGTGTCAGCAGTTTCCACTCTAGGTCAGGCCACAGCGGCAGCCGGGTAGGGGTGGGGGGCAGAGCCGCAGCGGCATCCAGGGGGACCTGGGAAGGCCAGGGGTGCACCTTTCCCACCAGGCGTGACGCTTTGCTTCTCACCCCCAGGGGGAACGGCGGAGCCCCCAGCACCTCTTCAGACCTCGCCACACCCTGGATGGAGCCAAGATGAGGGCCTCTGTCCGCATGACCCGCTACCTGGAGTCCTGGGGGGCAGCCAAGCCGTTTGCGCACCTGCACCACAGAGACAGCATGACGACGGAGAACGGCAAGATCAGCACCACGGTGCGCTCCCCAGCCCCCCAAGGCGCTTAGCACAGGTCCAAAGCCAGCCCCAGACAGGGCAGCCACTCCTGCCTGAGGGTGTCTGTCTGTGTGGTCCCAAGCATGGCACCTCCTGCGGGCACGATGCGCACAGCCGAGGGGCTTGGTGGCCGTCTGAGCCAGCGTGTGGACACAGTGGCTGTGCGGTCAGCTTGTCTTTTGGGTGACTGTTTCCTGTTTCCTCACGGTCCTGAGGTGCAAAGTGGGATCTCGTGGGGCACAGGGCTGACGCTGTGAGTCAGGCTGCACCCGCGTCTGCTGGAGTGCTGTCCTGCATGATGCTCACTCGCCTCTCTGGCTCCAGAGGGTCTCGGGCACCCACAACGGGGCACACAGAATCAGGCTGCTGGAAGGGGGTGAGAAAGAGACCCACAGTGGAGAGAAAACTGCCCAGCCTGGGGTATCCCCGAGTGCGGCAGACTTTAGACTGACCTTGGAGGGAGGGCTCCTGCCCAGGGCCACTAGCTGTGTCAGGGAGGTGGCTGAGCCGGAAGCTGTACGAAAGGGAGTAGGATGCGCTCTTCTTCCTGACTGTTGTCAGGTCAGTGTGAGCTTTTCCGGCTCCCGTCCCTCCCCCACACCACACAGCGACACCCCAAACCCTGGCAGTAGGGTCAGCTTTCTTCCTACTTATATCCTCCCTCAGCTTTTTTTTCCATTTAAAAAGCTTGTGACCAGACAGGAGTCCAGGGCTGGCCAGGCAGCTGACCAGGCCAGCAGGGGCCTCCCCTGGGGGAAGGAGGCACCACATGAGAAGCAGGCAGATAAGGGAGGTCACACCAACTGTGCTGACCCCGTGAGGGCCATGCTGCCGCTGCTCTGGGGGTGCATCTGAAGGAGGAAGGGGGAGGGGCGTGCAGTGGGTGGGTCAGGCCCACTCAGCGGCCGAGATAGAGATGAACTTGGTGTCTTGAGAGCAGATGTGAGGCTGGTGATGTCAACTCCAGGAGCGAACGGCACCGCGGGGTGGGTGGGTGGGGGGGGGGGTGGGGGCACAGTTTCCGCTCAGCATGCTGGGAAGTCCTTGGCGGCCCCGCCAGGAGCGCTGTGGGGTCATGGGCCGGGGTGGGATGGTGGCTGCTTCTGCCCGGGGCCTCGTGGGCACGGAAGAGGCCTGTCGGGGTCTGGCTTGAATGTAGAGCAAATGGCCCCTGTGATGAAGGGCGAAGATGCAGCCACTGTCTGACCGCCAGATGGAAGGATGAGGGTGGCATTGACCAAGGTCACAGGTGGCGGGAGCAACGTAGGGAGGGAGAGCGAAGACGTGGCTTGCAGGCATCTCCGAGTCAGTCCTGTTAGGCTCAGTGCAGGGCGATCGGGCGGGGGAGTGGAGAGCTGGGGGCTGCGCAGGCGAGATGCACGCAGGAGCGGCGGGTCGGGGTGGTCCTTGCCACAGCACGCAGTGGGACCGCCATGAGGCAGCGCAGGGGAGCGGGGCCAGGGCTTTCCAGCATTGGTCCGTGAGAGGAAACGCGTCCTCAGGCACTACCGTCTTTGGTCAGTGAAAACCTAAGCTCCCGTCACTCCTGTGGGGAAAATTTGGGATAATTTTATCTGAAGGCTGCATTTGCCACTGGGGTCGACGGGCAACAGCTGTGCTCTGGCTGAGCCTGTGGGGGCTTGCTTGGCTTTCCGGGGAGGCGAAGCGTAGGTTGCTGAATATTGAACACAGGTTTTAGCGACGGTTCCTGTGTGTACCCCGACGGACATGGTGCTCACTGCTCTGGGTGTGTTGCTGAGGGGTGTGTAGGTCTTTACGGTCTCCAGACATACCAGGCGCTGTGCCCACATTTCCTCAGGAGGGCTCACAGGGGAGGCGTTAGCCTGCCACCGTCTGCCGGGGTGTGTGAGCAGCGGTGCCTCCTTCAAGTCAGGGTTGCAACGATAGAGGCTTTGAGCTTCAGGAAGTTGCTTAGAGAAATCAGAGGTTCTTGAACAAAATCAGTTTTCAGAACCAGCTGGACACAGCAGAACCGCCTGACACGGAGCGGAGGGTCAGCTGCGGCAGCAGTGGGGGTACCACCTGCAAACCCCATCTTCACGGAGCGCTGACGCCCTCACTGTGCCTGAGGCCTGCTCCTAGCTCACTTGCGTAGACCCTGTCACCATCCTCGCAGACACATCCCTGGGACAAGCAGCTGTCGTTGACAGAAACTGTTTCTTTTACCGGCTGCCCCACTTGGGACTCCCTGGCTCTCAAGCCGGCGTCGCTTGAGCTGGCGAACTGCACGTTTGATGCGGCCATAAAACATGGAGTTGAATTAGTTTTAAAAAATAAATGCCAAGCTAAGTGCATTTCCCAACCTAAACTGTGGAGAAAAGGCAGCAGAAATCTCCATTCCGTGGAATTTCTGCCCTAAGTGTAGAAAAGTGAAACCAGTGTTTTTTATTGAACTTTTGGTGAGGAGTCTGTCCCCCTGGGATGCCTTGACCAACAGCCCCTGTCCCTCAGTTCCTTCTCAAAGGCTACCTGCTCTCACATGTTGGTGTCTTCCTGTTGATCAGTGAGTCATATTTAACCATTTCTTTCTTTCTTTTCTTTTCTTTTCTTTTTTTTTTTAAATGATGTAACATTGGCTTAGAGATTCCAGGTGGGCTGTCGTATACAACACCTGTACAGGCGGCATCACGCTCGCCTCCAGAGTCTGGTTTCCACCTTCATCCTGTGGTTGGCCCCTCCCTTTCCTCGCTGGTAGCTGCTATTTTGTTTTTACCTGCTAAGTGTTTCCTGTTCGGAACTGTTTGTTGGTTGATTTGCTTTGTTACTTACATGTGGCGGTGGAGGGAAGTTGTGAGGTATCTGTGGTTGTTTCCCATAGCACACGTACCTCTGTCCATCCCTGGCACAGCTCAGTGTTTCCTCTTCCTTCCTCACCGAGTAGCATCTGCTGTGTCTCCCCACCGTGTATTTTTTCTGGTGGTGCCTTTTGCTAACAGCGCAGTTCAGAAAGAAGGACGGAGTGTCAACTGCAGGGTGCTCTCTGTCTGCTAAGGTATGCTTTCTGCATCTCTGCTTCTGCCTGCACGTGACTGTCAGCTGCCGGCACTAACTCGAAAGGCCTCTCTGCAGCCACTGCCGGAGTCAGACCCTCAAAGAGCAGGATGGAAATGCTTCAGATCCCTGCAGTGATCCAGATAAGTCAGCGCCCAGCATTTATAGAGTCCGCCAACTCTCTGTAGAAATTGTTTTTTATCTTGTTTCACATTTTAAGGGAAACTCTTTTTCTCCAAGTAGGTCTTATTTGTCACCTAAATGATACTTTCAGTGATAAGAGCACAACTCTGTTGCCCACATAATCACTGATTAACATTACTCTTAAGGTATGTTTTGGGAACTAATGACCTTTCCTTTTTAACAGGATGTTCCGATGGGTCAGCATAATTTCCAGAATCGCACTTTGAGGTACAGTATATGTTCCATTGTCTGATGTTTGGAGGTTTATTGCCTTTTATTTATTTCTGGAAGTAATTATCATCAATTATAGTCATTTTGAAGGCTGGTTCTAAAAGAGCAAGCTACTTGTGAAAAACTCTTATTAAATTGCTTTCGGCTTCTAAAAATAGGGCCGCTCATGTGCATGTTATTAGAGCTGAGAGGGAGGGAGGGAGAGCTCCGCTGGGTGAACACTGGAGAACTTGCATTCTTTTCTTAAAATGACCGTTTTCTTAAGATGAACTATAAGAAAATGAGTGTTCTTAAAATGAGTATGTTGCTAAAAATGACACTTTTGTCTTGAATCCCAGAGATAAATTCAGCCTTTCTATAGTGAAAAGAAGGCCTGGCCAGCCTACTCGCAAAAGAAAAGCTCCCCAGAAACATCCCGGGTCCCCTCCCCCGCCTCTTCTGTGCTCTCCCAGCTTCAGGGTTGATGCTGGTTTGGGGGCTCCGTACTCCTTATACAAGGTGTTAAGATAATGAATGAAAGACCCAAACTTAAATCAGCCTCCCCCCCACCCTCTAAAGATGGGTTTAGGCTCGCGGAAGATGGCGTGTCAACGTGAGCAGTGGGCACCGGGGACCCTCCCCCCGGGCCCCGCTGGCCTCCTTCCAGCCGTCGCCATGGGCTCTCGTGTGTGGAATCTGCAGTGTGGACACTGCAGTGTGACACAGTCGAGCGGCAAGAAAAGGCGGGTCCCCGGGGGCGCCGGCGGCTAAGTGGCAGATGCCCGATGAAGAGAACCAGTCGCCCTGGGGTGCGAGCTGGGCCCCCTCGGCCAGGGGGCCTCTAGCACAGCTGAAGGGACACAGTTTTCACTTTCTGCTCCCCGTCACCTCTCATCTCTCCGCCTCTCCCTGCAATTTTGCTTTAAGAGTCCATTTTCTGAGGTGACGGTAGGGAGTGAGCCAGTCTGTGTGGGCAGCCTCTGGGTGAGCGCCGGCTGCAAAATGGACAGGGTTATTTTCATCTGCGCAGGGAGGGAAAAGACTGCATTCCATCCCCCAGGTGTCAGCCAGTAGACTCTGGTTTCTCCAGAAGGGACTGGCCCAGCCTGCAGGAGCATAAGCCTGTGGAGGAGAGGCCCCCAGGCCCTGCCCGCCCCAGGCCTGCCCACCCCCAGGCCCTGCCCACCCCAGGCCTACCCACCCCAGGCCTGCCCACCCCCAGGACTCTGGTGGGTCTGGGCTCCTGCCTGCCCCCCACGCCTCTGTCAGGCCTGGGACCCCTCCCTGTGCTTGAGAGTCTCTCCAGCACAGACCTCACTTTCCTCCGTGGTGGTTGGTCATCGGCGGGAACGCCAAGTCTGCGTCCCTGAGCTTCCCCCCACCTCTGGGCCTGTGTCTGGAGCACGGGAGCCAGGCTGTGGTCTCGGGCCCTGGCTGGCATGAGGGCCGCCTGCTGCCCATCCCTCCGCAGCTGGCCGGCACGTGGCGGGCAGGTGGAGAAGGAGCTCAAGAGGAAGAAAGGAGATAGGGCGGAAAGAGGCGTTGGGGTAAAGAGCCGCAGCACCGCTAGATGGGGCCCGGACAGGGACAGGGCAGGGCCTGGCGGCGGCCCAGGGCACAGTCCAGCCTGAGAGCGTCCTGCCGCATCCCGGCAGCAGCCGCAGTGCTAGAGACGGGAAAACCGCCTCCGTGTTAAGGTCCAGGTGGGATGCCTCGCGCGACGGCGTGCCTGGTGGTGCTCGCGTCTTCCTGCGGGAGTCCAGTCAGGCAGGGCGGCCGAGCCTGCTCTCGGAGACGTTCCCAGAGACGGCGCCTTGGGGGCCGGGGCGTGAGATCCAGGGTGACTTCTGCGGCTCAGGCGCCCACGCTGTGCCTGCTCGGGCTGCAGCCGAGGGAGCGCTGCCCAGCCGGCCCGAAAGGCCGGTCTGGATGTGGCGCTGATGCTCAGGAGGCGGCGCCGGGAGCGAGTGTGGCTCGGAGGCCTGCGAGGCGCCGGCTTCTCCTGGAGAAGGACCCAAGTCCCGTTGCCTCCACATTAGCTGGGAGTTGGTCAAGCCGGAACCCCGGGTGCCGGTGCCTGGCCTCTGCGGGGAAGGCGCCCCCCCCCTGTTCTGCTCCCCAGCCAGGTCATCCTGGCCTGAGCGCAGTGCGGGGCGGGGCTGCGTGGCACCCTGAGATTTAATTATAGATAAGTGTGGCTTTGCCTAGTGAATGCTCTTATTTGCTCTCTGAGGCGATTCTGAGCTGAGAAAAGCGTTATTTTTGTGCCGTGGTAGAAAGTACCAGTTAGAAACCCAGCTGGAAGCGAGAAGCCATGCGCCCCTGGCTGGCCGAGTCAGGTGTCACCCCAGCCAGGGCCCTGGGTGATAGATGTTTGACTTTGAAATACAAGTTTCATTTTGTTTTTGCCCTTTCCGTCATTCTCGTGGTGAGCGTCAAATTGGCCTTGGGAAATTCACTCTCACCGACATCGTTGACTAACAAGGTCTCTTACATTCACCACCGAAGGCTGCTGCGTCCAGGGCAGCAGGGTGGTCCGCAAGTGCGTGGGTCCCTGCGGCTCACGAGGGACATTTAGATGCACATAGGTAAGCTTTGATGGGCCTGAAAACAGCCCGACGTCCTGCAGATTCTTGAAAGCTGACCAGGTTAAACATGGACAAAGAGAATGATTCTGTCCGCCAAGCCACATTTTTGCAGGGGAATTTCCAAAGCCAGAACACTCTGCAAAGCAAGGTTTATAAAGACCAGCCGAGGGCGAAATGCCTCATCTCAAACGCCAAGTGTATGCGTTTCACTGCTGCTTTTATTACCTGCTAGAATCTCACTAAGTGGACAGCACCGTTTACTGCGCCAGAACCTCGGGTTGGTTCCCCCCACGCAGAGAAGCCCCGTGTCAGAGAGAAAAGACGCCACGGACAAGTGACGGCTCCTGTGCTCGACTGATGAGATTCAGCAGAGGCTTAGGCGCCAGAGTCGGCCTAAGGCTTGGTGTGGGACTGCTGTCTTACCTTTAATGTTTCTTTTGCATGTAGAACCAAGTCTCAAAAGAAAAGATTTGAAGAAGAGCTGAACGAAAGGATGATTCAAGCAATTGATGGAATTAATGCCCAAAAGTAAGTATTCTGTGGCCACCGTTTATCTCATTTCAAACCCGTCTGCCAAAACATCAGCTTTTCAAAAGCATTTTGCCACACCTCTGTAATGCTTATGGTGACAAAGCCAAGTTTGTTTGTTTTTTTAAAGAAACAGGTATTTATTTATTTATTT